ACATAAGCACTTGAGCACTTACTCATCAAGCACTTAATTCCAATAATCTTTAGACCCTAGCCGTACCACCAAGTTATATCATGAACTACTCACTACCCCTCACTCCCTCCCTACCCCGCGCGACCTCTCCCCTGATCTCACAATTTACCCCCTTCCCTCTTCCACCTCCATCAAGGTCACATCGGAGGATTACGGAACTTTCAAAGGAATACTGAAGCCACCTGTCCGCGTCGCTGATCCCGTGTACTTATATTTTTCATAACCGGATACTTTCCAACAACCTGACGTCTCCCCCCTCGAAGTCTTATTTTATTCTCCTTTCAGCAATTTGTCAATCCGCTCCGTCCAACTCGTACACCGCGTGCTCCTGACAACCCTGCGCCAGCAACGCAACATCGCGTTACGGGTGTATTTTATTTAACGTTGCTCCGTCACAAGCAACGGAGGGCCGTTAAAAATGAAGCGTAACGCGGGGTACCGCAACAGGAATTCCCACATCGCGGTAGCTCAGCTCCAGTCCGCAGAGCAGCAGCAGTGCAACAGGAGCTACAGCACTATTTGCAGCTCCCGCTATCTCCAGTTAACGGGCAGTTACGCAACATCGTCACAGCGCCAAAAAGCGCAACAGCCACAAATATATTTTTCATAAGTAAAGTAAGGTAAATCAAAGCAGTTGAACGAGTGTATTGAAAATAATAAGAGTAACTAGATGTGATTAGAAAGTAAACAAGTGTATTGGAAGTTTAAATAAAAAAAAAGATTAAAAAAACATATCCCGGGAGAAAAAAGCGAGTATATAGAGAAATGAAAAACTTGAAAATTGAGATTAATCGACCTCTACACCTAAAGATTCAGAATACCAGCAAGTCTGCAAATTCCACCCCCAAGCTAACACCCTCCCTTAACCATAAACGGCTCGAAACCAGAGCTTCTATAGTACGTGCCAGAAGTGATCCTCGATCGCTTGCACAGACATCAGCAGCACATGAGAAGATTCGTTCTGCGGCACATGAGGATCCGGTGGTGGCCAAGTAGTCGCGTGCCATGATGGCAATAACTCGGTAGTCCTTCTCATGACGCTACATATGCGAGCAAGGAAGTTAGCATGTGCACATGATAAAGAAGTGGAGACTGCATTACTTACCAACCACCATAGAAGTGCTGCTTTCGGGTCTTCTAAATTATAGTCAGTGTTGCGCATCTTGTCTGACATGTGTAAGTAATTCTCCAAAGAGTTATCGATTGTTTCGGCAGGTTCTTCATCAGAGTCGGAGTCGTCGTGAAACATTTTCGGTCGGTCTGCAGATGGATTGGAGCTAGTTCCAGCGGAGCTTTCGGCAGTTCGTTGACGAGGAGAAGTGGTTTCATAACTGGAGTAGTGGCGACGGAACAATGATTCGGCTTTGATTGGTGTTGCTCCAGACTTTCCACCAAACCACTTCTGAAAGAATTTCAAGCGAAAGAGCGGATGAAGGAGGGTGGCCATTACCAGAGTCTCGCACGCCAGTGCTTCGTCAAGGTACTCTTGAGTTTTCTGTAACAGCTTGGCTATCATGGGGTAAACCGCGTCCGTGGTACTTAACTTCTCAACCTTCTCTTCTAATTTATGTCGAAGCTTGACGTATTGAGGAATCACCATACACCCGGTAGGCCCGTCGCCTTCCATCTTGAGGGTGGTAGTAAGAAATATCTACATTAAGACAGAAAATAGATGTCATTGATGTTTGTCAGTATGATTGCCAGTGCACAGATTGAATGGTTTACATACCTCCAATTCAGAGTTAATATGTCGAACTTGAGCCCACTCGGAAGTGGTAATCTCCAGCTGGTGAAAATACCCGTAGGGCTTCCCATTCTTACGTGGGCTACGACCCGCCGCAAGAACTTGGTCAAGATCCTCTTTACACAACTGATCAATGACCTGATGAGATAGATTAGTACGAAGATTACCAAAAACCAATTGGAAGCAATGAAGATGACTCACTGATCGGGCAAGCCAGGCCTTGTGTCTGCTTTCATATTTAGTATTCCATCTGATGCCGTATCCAGCGATCAGAGACCCTGTGAAGCCCTTCTTTGCACTCACACGGGCAAATTCCTTGCGCCAGGCCGACGACCGAGTGATACGGCGTATGATAAAATCGACCTGGAAACAATGGAAATGGGTATGGACGGTTCAGTGAGAGCGAAGCTAGGGAAAACAAAGAAAGACACAAGACAGATGATACCTTGCGTAGGATAAAATCAACCTGATTAGCTTCTCGACGGTGTGTCGGTGCGACTTCTTTCTCTAAAACCACCGCCGGTGTCACTTCATCCTCAGCGTCGGCACGGTCCCATTCACCCTCATCCTCAATGAAACCTTCTTCGACTGGTGGATTAGTTTCTTCCAGTTCGAGTTCATCAAGGTCGCGTTCCGGAATTGGTTCGTCATTTGAGGTGCTATCCTCGGTCTCTTCATCTTCTTCTTCGATTGATTCAATCAAAGGGAAGTGGCCTCGAGCAGCTGACTTCGCTTTGGCAGGAGGCGGTGCCTTCACACCCAGCTCAGCTAGCCCTGCGTTGACAATCAGAGCGAGCTTATGACAAAAACAGAAAATGTGCATGGTTGCTGGGTCCCATTTATACTTAATACCGTCTGGCTGGGGTTTTGACGAAAACTGACGATCCATTTCCCGTGCCATCGTCTTGTTGTTCGATCCTGAGTCGGTGGTCTGGCAGAGAATGTAAAGGATAGACAAGTATGAGGATGAGGAATGCAAGATTTATAGTAAAAAGAGAGGAAAGACTTATCTTTTGATAGATACCATGCTTCACCAGAAGGTTGACAATGGGTTCAGCGAGCCATGGGCCATGATGGTGCCAGGCGACCACCTTCAAGCCCACATGTCGCACATGGTACTTCCATTTGGGGTCGATGAAAGTGACAGACGCTCCAATGAATCCATGCCGGTTGCCTTTGCTGGTCCAGCCGTCATGGACAAGATTGTAACGTGATGTGAGATTCTATGAAGATCACAAGATTTCAGTACATATCATTGAAACTGTAAGTATACTAGAAGACTTCTTACCTTTAATTCCATGAAAACGTTTGTTTTCAAGGACTTGTTGACTTGGCGTGCTTCAGAAGATGCCCACTTGCGCCCGTAAAGCTTGGCTTCAGGTCTAAGGTATCTTACCATTCCTCTCAGTATCGGGTCTTCCACTCGAGTCCAAGGTAACGCGTGTCGAATCAACCAGATGCACGCCATTTGATTAAATGTAACATTGTTGAACTTGACGCCAGGAGTGATAGTGACAAATCCATCAAGACCTCCCGCTTTCTTCTTGTCTGCCGCTCGCACCTCTGCCACCGAAGGAGGTATTTGCAAGAACTTGCCTTCGTCTGAATTTTTGGCTTTATTTCGGCCAGGACACCCCACATCGGATCGTCCGTCCTGAGTCGATCCATCCCTATGGGCGCGGAGGTTTCCTGTAAGGTTACTTAAGCTGACTCGAACGGGCTTGGTTTTGTCTCTCTTGCAGAACCGACAGGGATACGACAAAGGTGGCTTTGTCTTGTCCTACAGTTGATATGATGAGCAGAATATCAATATTAATGAAAAATTATTCAAATATTCAATAACAGAATTAACTTACATCAGTGTTTCGATGAAACGGAGGTTCATAGTAACCTCTGAGTCGATCTAACTCGTCGTCAGATTCTGCGGATTCCGGCTTGTGTCGCTTTCAAGGTGGTTCGGTAGAGGCCTCCTCATCTGAATCAGCACGTAGCATATCTCTGGTAACATTCTCTGAGATTTTCTGTGAAAAATAGTTAATCAGTGAACAGCCGAGCAGAAAGCGCATGATGATGTAGATAAGAGAAACTCACATCATTTGCTGGACCTGCAGGTGCAGCCTTTTTGCCGGGCTGCGATCTAGGGCCAGTGACCTTACTTTTCTCCTTGTGACTCAGACCAGCAGGCGAAGGATGAATACTGATAATGGAGGCGTCAGAATCCTCGTCGGCAGGAGAAGGTTCGTAAGTTCGGTCTTTACGCTTTTTCGACATCGTGGGTGGGTCAACTTCGACACTCAATCGTCGACGAGAGTCAACACACGGTGACACCATGCCTGGGTTCTTGACTGGCTGTCTGGTACGAATTGGTCTCGATGGAGTTCCAGAAGGCTGGGATGACATTGTGTTTGGTGGCGGGATAAAGTAGTAGGTACTGATGGCTTGTATCTTGAGTAAAAAAGGCGGAAGGGTAAATTTGATCGGGTGAGGTGTGATTAAGAGTTGGTTTGATAATATGAAACTGATTGATGGATGGAAACTATGAGGAAAAGGGTCGAATAGGATAATTTGTTGGGATCGGATGGAAAGAGTAGGTGAGAAAGATGAATTGATGGAAACAATGGAGAGGAGGAAGGAAAATAGTTAGTATATGGGGAAAAAAATTTGATGGGATGAGGAAGAGAGGAAGAAGTGGGTACACGTACTCTTTTAACATCGTCAGCCAGTCAGCCCCTTGCTGGGCACCTTCTTGAACTAACCAGCGCATTGATAATAGTTCTTCTTTGGGGTTCTGGCTGGTCGCCGTATTGATCGTATGAGGATGTATGAGGTATATCGTGCTACCACAATGGGAGTCCCTTGCCTGATCGGGGATTGTGCCAAAAAAAAACCCCGGGGCCGCAACACCGTTACTTAACGGTGTAGTACCGTAACGTTAACCGGATTTTAGCGGTCCCCAAAAAACAGAAAATATGAAATCTCTGTAGCTTTGCGGTACCGACCGCAACATTTGGCAGGGATAACTGTGACGTTACGGGGTCAACTGACCGCAACGTCCCGCCACGCAGCACGCAACAGTAACGTTGCTGGCGCAGGGTTGCTCCTGAGCCCTCAAGTTAAGTTTCCTTCTCATGCTACGTCCCGCAAAGCATCCAGTGGTTTATCCTTTGACACACCTACGACCATTCTGCTAATGACACAGATTAAATCACCCGATTCTAATCGTCGCATGGCGTCTATGCTTGAAGGCCTCACCACACGTTGTCACGCACTGCATACCTTGACACTGAACCCCAATCCGAAACAGCACTGGACATCACCTCGCGTCATGATACCCCAACGACCCCGACCGATTGTCTCTTGGCCATACCCCGTCGCATTCATCTTATCGACATATTTAAGCTAATCCGGTATTTTCAGGATCAATAACACTAAATTCACCCCTTACAACACCAAACCACTTTTTTCTCCTCGACACATCAGCTGTCTCACTCTAACGTCCGATCCTTATAAGACTCACTTCAGTCGGCAGTTCGCATAAGGTTGGTTGCCTTACTTTCCACCTTTGTTTACCTATCCAGTATGGCCAACAGTCCCCCTCTCCCCATCGAGGTCGTAGAGCTCATCCTTTCATACTACCTCGCAAATTCGTCACAACCAGTTATTAACTCCAGAAATAGTGTTGACTCACCATCAATCGAACCCTCACTGCTATTAGAACTTCTCAATTTTCGTTTTATCGCTCGATCATGGTCACTTGCGGTTTTACCACATGCCTATCAGAATATCCGCTTTGCGCCTCCCTCTATAATCCCGTCTTTCGTCGACAGTTGGAAACTCTCTGCCACCGTTTCTACTGGAGCATCCATACGCCGCCTTGCCTTTGAGAAAGTCGTATCCCCTGACCTGTGCTCTAGCGTGGCTTGCGAGTGGTTTGGAATTTCTATAAATCAAATGAATCGTGCCAATTTCGATCGCGCGCACCCCAGAAACCGAAGAATCTTGATCGATGACGTCAAGCGAGTTTTAGATTTATGCTCCCTCACTCTTACCCACTTGAAACTTCAATTCCTTTCCGCCGTCAGTTTTCCGCCCAAATTCATCAGCACTATCGCAGGTACTGTCAATTTGCAAGTTTTGATCCTGACCGGCAATCCCTACGGGCATCAAATTGATCACACCGAGTCAATACGAGACCTACTGAACAGTACTAGCCGTCTATCTTCGTTATCACTCAGGGTCTCTTTTTTAAGGCCTTTGAATTTGGATCAGACTTCACTGCCACATCTGGAACACCTCTCAGTAACATGCAACAGGAATAATTCAGCCGCGCTCAAACAATTATGCGAGCGCCAAGGTAGAGGCATTAAGCATTTGGAGGCCTTTGTACATGCAGATCGCGACGCTATTATTCCAATTGTCTTAGCTTTAAGATCCTCACTTGAGAGTTTAGCGATCGAATCTATCCCTGGTCATCTCCCTTTCGCTATCCGGACTGAGAATTTTCCGAAACTCAAAGTTATTCGTACCGTGGATACACTTCATACCCGAAGAGGCCTCTCTTGGCTCCAATTTGGGATTTGTCATAACATGGAGACATTCGTAACCAGTTATTACCATTCGGCTGATCATTGGCGCAAGGGGCTCGAGGCGCTTGAGGGGAGATTGCTTAACAAACCTGCTACTTTCAAGAAGATCGTCTTTGTTAAAACCAACTCGGACATAGTCGACAGCGAAGCCGCCTCCTTATCCGATTTGTTGAAGTACCATGGGATACATTGTGACTTCACGTCCCGGTGGAACTATGCTGACTTGACTGTAAGTTGATCCAATCTCTCAAATTCGCATTATCACATTAATAATTTGAGTTACCCGTTCACCTCTATCTCGGTCCTCAGAACTTAACCACCGTACCCCTCGCTCAAACGACTGCGTCTGAAGTCCCGCCGCCTGTCCCCGAGATTGATTGTAAGCAATCGCCTTCCTTGACTAACTTACTCAGTATTAACTGTTTTCTTGCATCTATCTATCATCTTTCGTTGAACTTAGCTCATCAGGCCGACAATTACCTTCGCTGAGTAAACATCCAGCGTTTGGTGATAGAATTACCCTTACAATCGCAACCATGCGACTGCCTCCTTCCCTGCCTACTTTACATATCCAATTCAAGCTTCCAATTTGTCTAGCTACGGTCGAAATCAGCATCAAATTTCAATGCACTATTATATTTAAAAACATTTCAAGCTCCTCACTTTTCACTGTCCGCCAATATAGAATGTCAGTGACAAACCTCCACTTTGGCAAGGCATTCTCCCTATGCGATCTCATTCCAAAGGTACAATTTTTCTCGGCTCTGCCGGTGCTATTTCTTGCCTACGGTCTTGGCAAATCAGATAGTTTATTGTTCCAGAATCCCTAAGTGCTACAATTGCCCCAACATTCCTTGATCATCCCAGATGTGTCCGGTATCATGTGTTTTAAATTTATGGATCCAATGAATGAATGTCGCTTAGACCCACCACTTACTGAGCCCGGGCGTTAAGATTACAACTGTGCTTTGGGCTCTTATTTTCTTACGGTCACGTTTGCACTCTCTTTGTGCATGCCTTGGAAAAAATTAATCCCTTACGGATATTCTGTTACTCAGCACTGCATGCCACCAAATATTGCATAAGCCGTGAGGTACCCGATCACGTCTTATGTGCATATGTTCGAGCATCAAGTGGTGTCTGCTCTGATGACCTGTCGAATGTTTATCCCAACGAGAGCAACTTGCGAATTGGCACCAAGCATAACCACTATAGAAGTCTGGAACATGCCCAATTTACTGCGCCTTCTCTAATCAGGCCCTTGCTCACAGTATCCGATGCAATCAACCCACCCCGCCCTATCAAAACTTACTTCAATACCAATATGTGTTCACAATTAAGATTTCTTTCTCCCGCTTAAGATCTCTGTTTCACCATCGCGAACAATCACATGCCGTCGCCGCTTGGGGATCCCGCACTGCAGACGATCAAATCGGCCAGCAATCAACTTATCATCATTCAAGTTCGAGACGACAAACGCTCAGTACAATCAATCTGTCGTATGGATTGTTTTCCCAATTTTATCATGTCTCATCCGATCGTCGCCAAGAGTGCGAATTCTCTCTCTGTGTCGGTTCCTGAACCAGCCCGCAACAACTACGCGACAGACGATAATGTTTTGATGTGTCGGCATTCCCTCCGGACCAAAGCTAGGACTCGCAATCATGTATCGCCATCATGTTCGTGGAATTTGATCCACGACGTGTGCGCCATGAACCATCTCTTCGTCTCGATCAATCACACATACAACCGATAAGA